AATACCAGAAAGTTTTCTTTGGGTTACTGCTGATTACCATAAGAGTACATGCAAATTTTAAGTCACTATAATTTTTCAAAAAACCCATGAATTTATTTAAAATTTTGCAGGTAGCTTTTTAATAAGAATCTATAATAACAAATTCAACATACTAGCATTGTTTAAGTATATAGCCTGTACATCCTTAATGTACTACCCGTTTGAAACAAATACACGACATCGCACAAAGATATAATATTAACGTAATAAAATCGCAGCATCGTAACGATTGAACTCTGTACTTAAGAATCCCCGTTGGACTTATCCATGGCGTTGCTCTCGCATCATTCGTCATCGACGATCTCGCATCCGTATTACGACGTGGACGAATACGAGTCGACGTCGGAAGAGTCCTCGTCGTCAACGTTATCGTTGACAGGCGATCACTTAGATTGCAGCATTTTGACGACAATTAAAAGAGGAGAAAGGGTTCTGCTCCCGTGCGAAGTCTGCGGGAAGTCCTTCGATCGGCCTTCCCTCCTCAAGCGTCACATGAGAACGCATACAGGTAAACGAGTTACGATCACTGGACTCTATTAAATTTTTATATAAAATGACCTGTCAATTTGAAAAATGTGATACGCGCACAGCTCCTGGTATTTCATGTACAGTATAAATCAATAAGATATTATCCATTGATCGTCGATTTCATTACGCAGCCTGACAGCAACACGTTTAAATTTGTCAAAGTAGATTATTTGAACGTATGCATTCATTGAACGATTACTCAGCGTGTTTTGATAAAATCATTAAATCACAAGTTATTGTACGCGATATTTCTTGAAAAATTCTAGCCTCGAGCGAGTAGAGCAGTCGAATCATCATTTAAAATTTAGTAATTCATCATTGTTGTGAAATTAAAGGTGAGAAACCGCATGTTTGTATGGTGTGCAACAAGGGCTTCTCAACGTCGAGCTCGTTGAACACACACAAGCGAATCCACAGCGGTGAAAAACCCCATCAGTGTCTTGTTTGCGGTAAGAAGTTTACGGCCTCTTCCAATCTCTATTATCATCGTATGACTCACATCAAGGTAAGTCCCGATTTGTTCTTAACGAGAAACGTGTACATTTTTCTTATCAACAACTTTCAGCTGGCGATTTCTCTTTGTTTGCTCGCGTTTCTCGATTTGAAAAACGAGCTTAATTAGATATTTCGCGTGCGTGATTAAATCGATTCGGTCGGAAACGACCGCCGACCGAGCCTCTTTAGGGAGTTTATCTTCATTTTAATCCGTAGTTATCCGAAACCGGTGTAAAGCTGGTAGCGCGATCGGAAAACGCAGGAAACCGGTAGGAGCGGTGTCGAGCGGTAACGCGAGGCGCGAGTGGTAGAAGATCGGTCGGGGTTTTTATTTATCGGAGCGAAAACCGCCGCGTATGAGTTTCTCTAATCCAGCGAAGTAATAACATCTCTTGGACCATATAGGTTGTGCCTCTTGCCATCAGCTACTGTAATTGGTCCATTACTCGCTACTGCTTGGAATGCAATCCAATTAGGGAGACGAAGAATATACCCAGAGGCAGACTGTTCTGGTTCTCTTTCGATCTTATGTTAACATCGCTTTCCGCCTCTATCTCGTCTCTACTCCTTTTGCCTCTCCGCTTATGTCCTGCTATCGTACCCTGCCATCTCCCTCTCTTTCGTTCCCGTTCGCTTCCATTCTCGTCGCGTTTCGTCCTCTTCCTCTTCGCGTGGCCGCGCGCGCTCATCCCGCTTACCCTCGCCCAGCTTTTCATCGTGTTTTCGCGGTTTTCTTTTATTCCCCCATCGGCTTTCTCGCCGATCGAACCGGGATAACAAATGCGCCCGTACGCCTTTATCCCTCGCGCTTTACAGTACCTTACAACCGATCTTTATTAGGTGTTACTGAACGTTTATCAACGATCAGAATTTCTAAGCTATCTGCGTGTACTGCACATTATACATTTGAATTTTAATTTTATTTCTGTATTTCATGATGTCACCGAGTGACGAATTATGCTTTTCAAATACATATTTTACATAGCGATTATAACGAATAGCAATTATATTCTTAATTATAGTCATTACAGTGGTCGAGTTTTTAAACAGTATTTTTATTTAATTACAGTAGTTTGTACTATAGGAAGTTTGCAACTTACAGAAAATAGATTGTAAAATTTGACAAGCTTTATCGTTTCTATTATAGTCTATTGAGAACTGCGAAGAGTGCTTTTATGTTTCAGGAAAAACCGCACAAGTGTTCACAATGTTCGAAGTCGTTCCCAACGCCGGGAGATCTCAAGAGTCATATGTACGTGCATAATGGGCTATGGCCATTTAGGTGCCATATCTGTAGCCGCGGTTTCAGCAAACCGACGAACCTTAAAAACCACATGCTACTGCATCTCGGTAGGTGCTCGAATAAGAAGATCGTCAAATCGATTTCAGACTATTGAACAATACCCCTCGACGTTTCTCGAGAGATTTCTGTATTTAGCTACTACGGAAGTTTCCAAGCAAAGTTATCAATTATTTCAGTTCAGGTAAAGCGGTATATACCTGTGACTCGTTTACCGGTGATCCTTAAACATTATTCTTAAAAAACTTTTTATTGTTCCTCGAATTTGTCTAATACCGTTTACAAATGGTTAATCGTAACGAATGAATCGTTATAAAGGACACCGAGGAGATGCTACTAAAGAGTGGCAGTGCTCGTGTAATCGTTGGGACACCGAGTGGTGCCCGATGGGGCTCAAACACAGTCGGGGTGAAGTTAGGCTGCCATTTTTCAGTAATCTCTCCTCGGTATAAAGGATTATAGATCTATGATGTATATGTATGTTATGTTAAAGAAATTGCATGAAACTTGAGTGAAACGTCTGTTTCGTGTGATGAGGAGATCTGAGAAATATGTATTAAAGATTAAGCTTAGCTGTATTGATTTTTATACGTACTTGGTTTGTTAACTACGAACAAGTACGGATTAAGGGAAAGAGGGGCTAGGATACCATTGTTAAGAAAATGCTTCATCTTTTCGAGACTGTGAACATTATTAAAAAAAAATTCTAGAAATCTTGATCTGATCTTGTTTAAAATAATTTCAATTATACTTTCATCGCTTGGTTCGATGAATAAAATTAATTGCCTCTTTACCTCGTTCCGATAATTTTTCTGTTGTAATTACAAAGAACGTCTTATGTAACATTATCGCAATAAAATTATTTGAGAATTATATTCAACCTTTTCTACTTGGTAGAAGAAGGATCGACATCTAAATGAATAAAAGCTATTACACATTTATAAAACTCTACGTTCAAAATACAATAAATGATATACATCCCTTTACCTCTGTCATTTATCTCTTTGGTTCGAACTTTATTTTCTCTTCTTCATTCATATTACATTTTTACACGAGTTTTATATGCATCTATATACATTTCATATGCATATTAAATAAACGAAATCGTACAATCAAACGTGAACTCAGTGATAGAAAGAGGACGCGATTATGCAAAATGCGAAGAACGTTGATGAAGATTTCGACAACAATCACGATGTCGAATAAAGATAGTCTTTTTCGAGAAAATATCCGAGATGAATATACCGAAATTTCGCGATATAATGTACCGAACTTAAACAACCGCTTACATAATATCATATGTAAAAAATATGAATTGCTCTTCTTACAAGATTTACAACAAAAATATTATATCTTTGTCTTATGTAAGTATGACGATGTATATGTATATAATGTCAGAATTTATCACTTTCATTCATTTAGATTTGAAAGACATTGAAAGACATAGAATTTTCGTTTAGAATATAACAAACGTAATTTCACCTACTTGTATCCTTTCCTTAGAATATCCAATCAATATACAAAATAACGGAAAATCGTTTTTCTCCTAAATGGAACGGAACACAATTCGGAGATGTTCAGATGTAACCTTTCTGTGTTTGGAATTCCCACGAGAATGTTGAATTAGATCACATTATGTACAACTACAGACTAGATCCACCGCTAATGAGACCAGCTTTTGTTTCAGCAGGTACTTGTTTTTGGAAACAGTCGTCCAAAAATTGAGCCATCGACAAGTAAAGGTGAGTTTTAACACCCGCTAACGTATGACTCACATCTGGATAAACCTGAAGGTATCCAATAAACATTATACGTAATATTATTTATACTTATTATAAGAAAAGATGCAAATTTTCAATTAATCATACCTGTTGACGGAAGAGTATGTTTTTCGTAACGAGATGATGCGCGAGTGCCATGGACTGTTGAAATTGGACGTTATCATCTGCAGTGCCGTGCACTAAATAAAACATTTTGTTTCTTAAGTGATCCACTTTATCGTAGACGTCTGACTCGGCGTACCCCTTATAATTCGACACGACATCTGGTAGCCCCATGTACCTTTCTGCGTAAGCTGAATCTATTTGAAACAGAGTTCAGATGTTTTTCTATATACGATAAGAGCGGAAAACAATTAGTTTACACCGTACCGTAGAGCTTCCACGAGACAACAGGCGCTACGCTTATACCGCATTGAAAGACGTCTTGCTCAGGATGCGCCAGCGCGAGAGCAGCGACGAACCCTCCATAGCTCCATCCCCAAACGGCGACGCGTTGTTTATCCACGAAATGCAACGAGTCCCGCAGATACCTGAGGATTCGATTTCGTTAATGATTAATTCCATTCGCGAATTATTTTTATTCGAGGTGACACTCACTCAGTGACCTCGAGTTGATCGGCCACTTCCACCGATCCGAGCCTATAATAAACTTCGTGAAGGAACTTGTAGCCTTGACCTCCGCTGCCTCTGCCGTCGATCTGTGCTACGATCATATTTTTCCTGCTAGCCAGATACGTGTTCCAGTCGATTTTGAACATTTCCGTCACCAACTGCGAACCCGGCGCACCGTATCTGAAAATACAATTAAATTCGATTAAATTTTTATACCAAACGCGTTCAGGGATTATTTTCTTAAACGTACACTTGTACGATTAAGGGGTATCGAGTGATTTCATCCTCTCTTAATCCAGGTGGCAAATACAGTTTCACTTGTGCGTTATATCCACCGCTGATTTGAACCGGAAACGTTTTAACTTGCGGAAGCGCGAGCTTGGCCACTCGTTCCTAAAATTGTTATCGTCACTTCGCGTCTCTTTGGACTTGGAATAATTAAAATACTGCAACAACTTACACGTAACGCTGTATTGTTTTGTAAAAGATAGATGAGACGTGGCCTGGGAAATTCAGTTTTATAAATGGCAACAGTCGGTATGCCGGGTCCGTAACATTCTAATACAAAATAGTCGGTAGCATCCGGCGGGAAGATAGCTTTGTGATACTGGCAAGGCTGATCAGTGAAATCTGGAAATAAAAATCACGTAAGCCAAAGTGCAGTTGTACGCAAATCTACGATTCTACTTACTTGGCGGAGTGTACGCTTTCGATTTTTGTTTCTTCGAGACGTTCTCCTTTTGACGCTTGTCATCCGCGTTTTGTGCTTCGGTCTGCGCTTCGTGATCGTGCGTGTCAGGCCAAGCGCTGTGATGCCCGGTCGGAGACGTACGATGCTCCTTTGGAACTTTGTCCGACGTTTCCGTGGTGCAAGTAACGCAAACCGCGGGATGCAAAGACGAGCCCACGTGCGGTAACAACGAGCTCACGTAATAGAGGTGCCTCTGGCCCGGCCGCATAGGCGGAATACCTATAAAGTATCTGCATAAAACAATCCAATGAAATTCATTTATCAGCCTTAGAAATCGTCGTCATATCTTTTACTCACATGGTGTGATTAGCATGATCCCATGCGACTATTTCGGCGACCTCGAACTTCCCGTGAGTAAGCGGGACGACTAACTTTTGTGCGACGTTCACCCATACAATATGTTTGTAATAACCGGCAGGGCCGTCCTTTATTGGACTTATAGTAATGTAACTGCTACCGTTCGCTGAAAAGATGGGCGACTCGGATGGGCTGTCCACCCACCCACGATCTTCAGCTGATATCTTTTGAATCTCCTATAAATAATTTTATAATTGACACAAATAATCGAGAAACAGAGCTGTTGATGACTGCGACGTACCTGGCAACGCCATGAAGGACTCTTGCAAATCGTTACGACGGAAAGATTTTGCGAACGGGTCAGCCACGTTATGCAGACTTCCGTTAATGACACCCAAGAAGCCGTCGTAAAGTAATGTTCTCTGCAGACGGATATAAACGTGAATAAAGCGTGTCATACCACGTTCAATGATTAATTTAATATTTGAAGCGACTTGCATGTGTGATACTCAGTAGCAATTAAAATCTATGATAATATAACTTAATGCGTGTACTACCGAGTACGTAGCTCGTTATATCAATGCAAACTATATAGTAAAACCGAACTATTTTAATAATAATAGAACGGATATCGATTGTTACTTTGATGACCCAAGTTCCCTTGACGATCGTATCAATTTTTCTTATTATAAAAAGGAAGCTACGTTTGAATTTATCAATTAGCAAACGAATAAAAGCAAATGAAAAGTATTAGACGTTTATGCATACTAACAAAATTCGTGATCAAACTTGCTAAGCTCAATTAAATAATCGTTCGTGTGCTAAAACTCGAAATAAAATATTCATTCTCTACATATATCGTATCTCCAGGATTAAAACCAGCTGATTTCTAATAAAAGTATTTATACATTGTATACTTTTTAATTCAAAAGCAGCTCGTCTTAAACCAAAAAGAGCTACTCCTCGTGTATATCTTAAAGTATCTTGCCGAGAGAATATGCTTCCTTTTTTGTAGTACCTCGGGAGTGTCATCATAGAAACACTAAATGTTTCTTGTAAAAAGCAACAAAGTGCGATTTCTATTCAAGACATTGTCAATTTTCATTCATTTCTTATATTTTTTTTTTTTTTTGTTAAGACGTATAATTACACCTAATGAGGAAAAATTAATAAGAGAGAATTTATTCAAGCACTCCGTACTCTAAACTTTGTAAATAAACTCACGCGTGCTCGATGCTAGGTGGTGGTTTCACTGCTTTTGTACGAATGTTTTTAGGGTCTACCAAGTCCGCTACATAAAGTTTCACCACGGGATTCGGTGTTCCTGGCTAAAACATTTAAGAGATATACATTGATCCCCGCGGTTAGTCTCGAAATAATTACCTTAGGATAACGTAAAGATCTTATATCGGGGTACAAAGCTTTCTGGCCTTCTCCAAACCAAGATATATGCATTTCCTCGACGAGCGAGTCATTAAACGAAGCGTATAACATCATGTGGCCATCCGGTGACATCCAAATCGCTTCCGCGCGATGCAAGATCTCCTCTAGAAGATCAGAAAAAAATTCATTTAAGTTGTACACGTCCCAGGGACCGATAGTTTTAATCAATACCTTCGTAAAGCCAGTCTGGTAATCCATTTGATAAAATACCAGGGACCGCGGTATCGGTAACTCGATGACCTGTATTGCTCTTAGGACTTGGTATATAATAAATATCATAATCTTGAACCATAACTAATCCCTGACCACGTGGAGCCCATTGCGCCAATAAAAGATAGGGATGAACGTCCCTCTCCGGATATGGGGTCAGTCGAATAGTTTCTCTTAATTAAAAAATTACATTTTCAATATATTTTTGCACTGGCGTTTGCTGTTAATCGAGTCTTTAATTATACACTGACCGTGTGTTCACGTCATAAACGGTGTACTGTGCTAAATAAGAATATCGGAAGAGCTTTTTGACGTCGTGCGCGAGAAGCAAATAATTACGATCCGGTGACAATGAGAATTTAGCCGGGTTCAGTATTCTCTGTGCATAAAATATCATTTAACATTTTTTTACTCAGGAGCTTAAGTATGAATAATTAATTTGAACTTACGAAAGTTTCATTGGGCATTAAGCTGTGCGACGTGACATTCGTTGAAGAAATATGTAACAACGAAATACCGCCCCACACATCTCTGTAGCAAATGTGTTGCCCGCTTACCCATGACCCATTGAAGAATAGAGGCTTTAATTCCCCGGAAAGCACCTGGAATATGTTTCCTCTCTATAGGAACGGAAGTGATAAGGAAGTTGAAATGTTTCATGGAAAATTATGTTAATTACCTCGGAAAGTTTTAATTTGGCACCTCTTACTCTTGGACCTTCGTCTGGTGGTGTTAATAAGGCAACTGATGTCACAATCAAAGCTAGGACCGCAACAATCACAAGTAGAGCTATCAGAATCCCACGCCAGTTCCTTTGATTTGGATTCCCTGATACTAGCTCCTATCACAAAGGTACTCACTAACGCTACTGCTAGGTAGTTATCTTCTAAGCAAACTTAGGTAACTTAAACTTTTAAATTAATGAACAATATTTATAAAATGTCTTTCACGTGATAAAATAAGAATAATTATTTTGCTTCTCATCTAGTCTATTCAGCCCGGGTTATGTCATTAATTTTGTAGTGAAAGAAAATAAAGAAATGATGTGAAAATATTTATCTTGAAACAAGAAGGAGTATTTCTATTATATATGCGCATTACAAGAATTAATAATATAATTAATCGATCGAGGTAATTAATTTTAGATTATGTGCATTAGTAGGTCAATGTTAACTCCTTCTGCACATTTATGGATAATTATCGATCTTGTAATCTGACCGCTATTAAAATTTAGAGACTGTATAAAATTAATACAGTTTATCGCGTTATAACATCTTTAAATACATTTGAGCACATTTAACTATATTACAAATGCACTAAAAAATAGATCGTATGTACATACACGTATTTCGATAACTGTTAGAATTTACTTGAAAAGAATAATGTTTCTTCGACTCACGAGTCTGCCCGATCTACTTATTCTACTTAAAGTCTGTCTTCATTTGCACGCCCTACTTTTATTTGCGTGCAACAAGAGAAAAACACGTACTCCCCGTTTCAAAAGTAGGAACACATTTTCGTTTTTGATGGAATAGTCAATTGCTCAGGTTTCTCTATTTCTAATATTATGTGCAATAGAACAATTCTCTTAACGCGCGTGTAAATCCGTGTTCGAACATGATATAAAGAACTGATGAATTGCGATGAGAATCATGAGTTTCTATATAAAAGATGGTCTTTTATAATCCATCAGTGTTTGAAAAAAAAACTTTCTACCGCACGCATTAATATTGCGCTCGAATCAATGCGCTCACCGCAATGTTTACGCAAAACTAGGATTACGTTCCTTCATGAAAAATGCATTGGACTATTTTTTTAGGAAGGAGAAAATTGACTAGTAATCGAGTAATTACCTCGTCGTCGTAAATGTTGTCGTGATCTGCCATCGGGGAAATGGATCGATGTCCCGGCGAGCTTGCGTCAAGTTAACTAAGCAAGCAACGAAGGATGTCAACTCCTATTCCGTTCGTGGCGACGAATCGTGTTTTCTTAATGATCCAGCGTGATGCACACATAAGTACGGACTGATCTGAATACAGATGGAACGAATGGAAGAAGAAACTGAACTTGATCTAGTAGGGTAAACGACGACGACGACGACGACGACGAGTAGCAGTATCCGCGTAACGATCCTGCGGCGCGGTGCAATTCCTCCACGGCCTCTACGCCGTGCGAAAATTTTCAGTACTGATACGGAGATTGTCCCCGATGATGCTGGAAGAACGAGGCTTGCGCGATACTGATGCTGCGCACAGTTCTGTCCTTTACCCCTTTTTTTTATTATTCTAATTTAAATGAATCCCTCTAAAGCATTGGGTCACAGCAGCAATGTTTCATACATAAACAGTCATATAAACGACTACTCGATTCAATGAATAATTGATTGGAGAGCTCGATCGACTCTTTGATCTCTCGAAAGAAGAAATTACTTGATTATATTAATTTTAATTGAAAGTTCGCCTCCCTTTAGTACATTTTTATTCAAGTTTCACTCGTACATGATTTACTGGTAAACCAGACTAATTATAATAAAACATTAAGGGAACATGCTAATTAGTGTACACTTTTATTTGAGCGTGAAATGGATTAGGGGCCGACTCGTATATAAAACTTGTTTCACCGCATATTTAAAATGGAACATGATATAACAGACGGGCAATAATTAATGCTTGTAAAACAGATTCATAGTTATACTCTTTATTTCACAAAGAATACAATTTCTTACAGACGATACGGCAAAAGTTAAGTAAAAAAAATTGCTTATTTTATAAAGTGCGAAATTAAAATTCTACTATACAACATTAGAAATATAATGTTAATTTCTACGCGTGTTTGCAAACTTCTCATTTTTCCTTCGTAAAGAGGGTATCTTTTTTAGTACAAGTGGCACATGCAGGGATAATATGTATGAGTTCAGTCTTTCAAGTGGTGAGTTATATATGTGTATACGACCGAGTATTGTATATATGTAGATCAATATCTACTGCGTTTGCGTGCAAGTTAATTCATCAAATAAAAGCTGGAGCCAGTGTTGGGCACATCGTGGGATTTTTAGGGTGTGCGCACTGGATTCTTTACTATTCATTTATCAATCAGAATTAAATCAGATATTTTCCTCATCTCAACATTGATTAGTCCGTATTCATGTATAAAAATCTCCAAGGAAAAAAAGCTTTTCGTGAAAAGATAAAAGAAACTGAGTATGTTTCAATAGTTTGCCGATATAATTGAATTTAAATTAATTTACGTGCGTCATACAGATCCCTTTTAGCGTCCAATGCTGTTGAAAATTAAACAAGTACGCGGGATTGCGGTCACGTGACACCTCTAACAGTGACGTCATGGACGCATGTGTTTTAGGCGCCTAGTTATGAAAAATCACCTCGGGGTGCACAACACTGGCTGTGAGCTAGTGATAGGCACTATCGAATACCTAGGGAATAATCGCAACGTACTATCGACTGATTAGTCGATAGTTTGTAGTCGGATGAAATATCGCTCTCGCGGTTATGCCTCTAATAGCGTTCATATTTAAATAGCATTTTTGTTTCGCTATACTTGACCAAACGTGATCTAAAGCATCGATCACGCATTACGCATTTTCAAGTCTAATTTATTGTAGAAATGCATAATTCTGATTAATAAATTAATAGAAATGCA